GGTTGATGCTTCTAGGGGAGGGAGAGTCACTTGTCTTTAGAAATGTGGCCACTGGTAGATTCACCTGTCACAGTGTATGACCCCATGAACACTGTAAATGAGGGCTGCACTAACTGGATTCAGTGGGGTAGAAGTAAATTATTTAAAGAAATAGGAGCTGTCTCAATACTTTCATTTTTCTATCACTAGCTTAATCTATGTTATTCTGAAAATAGTTCCTCATTTCTTTACCCATCAGTCCTACAGGTGCTGAGATTTCAACCATGAGCCATTATGATCAGCAACACCTAATATTTTGCATCCCTTCAATAATGGACTCACAACTATTACACACCATTTCTAATACGGAGTTCCTTTTCCTGTAGAGGAAATAAACTTAGGTCTCATATTCTAATGTTCTGTCACTGTCCTCTAACCAGTGTACACAAACACACGCACACACACACACACACACATGCATACACGCACACACGTGCTCACACGCTAGCATGTGCACTCACAAGTAACTGATATTTAAACTGAAATCTGTAATGACAATTTGTATGCTTTGTTGTATAACAACTTTGTTGTGATAAGCTAGGTTTTGCTTAATATTCCTTCTTTAAGAGTTATTTTAATTTCAGAAGAGGAATGTCTGCTGAGACAGTCTGTCTCCCTTGAGCAAATAACTTCAGGAAGAAGAGACTACATTGTGGTGGTATTGTATTCCCCAAAGTATTGTGCACCCTAATAAACTTATCTGGGGTCAAAGACAGAACAGCCACTAGATACAAAGGCTAGAAAATGGTGGCACTCACACCTTTAATCCTAGCTCCAGAGGTAGAAATCCCTCTGGATCTCTGTGAGTTCAAGGCCACATTGGAAACAGCCAGGCATGGTGACACACGCCTTTAATCCCAAGAAGTGAGTCTTTAACCCCAGGGAGTGATGGAAAAAACAGAAAGATATATAAGGCGTGAAGACCAGAAACTAGAAGCATTTGGCTGGTTAAGCTTTCAGGCTTTGGAGCAGCACAGTTCAGCTGAGAGCCATTAGAGGCTTCCAGTCTGAGAAAACAAGAGCAGCTGAGAAGTTGGCCAGGTGAGGTAGCTGTGGCTTGTTCTGTCTCTCTGACCATCCAGCATTTCACCCCAATACCTGGCCCCGGGTTTGATTTTATTAATAAGAACTTTTAAGATTCCTGCTACACTACATAGCAGCACATAGCCCAGGAAGCTGCATCAACTTCCTCAGTCCCAAGCCCCTTCCAGGGCCCTCCCTATAAGGGCCCCAGGCAGCTTGATCCCAGTGCACAGCAGGAAAGTCAGTGTCATTTGCTGTCTGTGCTAATGACCAGTGTCCTCTGCTGTGGTCAGACTCTGGTCTCTTTCCAGCCTTTTGTCTCTTCATTCTGCAACCTAAATTCTAACACTACTGAAATTATTAATACTTTTTTCTACAAAGAAGTTAATCCAAACAAAAAACAAAAAAGTACTGATTAAGTACTCCTTCATGCAATTTCTTCTATTTGGAGAAGCAGCCTAGAGCAAAACAAAGAAAGAACAATCCAATCCCAAGCCTATGACCCCCTTCACAGAGCTCTTAAAGGGCAAACCTGGGAGAGTGCTTCAAAAATGCCAATTTTTGCCTCAGAAACAGGCAGCGCAGAAAAAAATCTAATTAAAAAATTCTCTTCCTCTGAGACTGGGAATTTTGACCCACTCTTACAAAGGGAATAATCCATTCCTCTTACCATCATCATTTTTAAAAGAACAGGGCGGGTGTGCGAGCACACACACACACACACACACACACACACACACACACACACACTATAAGGAGTTGTGGGGGGCGGGGAATGTAGCTTAATGGCAAAGCCTGTGTTGAACTTATGTCAGGCCTGGCTTACTGTTCAGTAGTACTAAGGAAAGTGTAAAATCATAAACGTGATGACAGGAAGAACCTAACGCAGCACAGACACACCCATAAGGGACACCGCCGAGGTCCCTTCACACCACAGACCGGACTCAACGTCACCAACCTGGCAGGCAGCACAGGGCGGGAGGCCTTGTGCACAGCTGTCTGCTTTGCACACAATCCCAGTGCTTTGGGAAGATCAGAGCTAGTGTAAGAGTCCAGGGCACAGTCTACACATGGCCAGGGGAACACCCAGGTCTCAGCTCCACAGCCTCAGCAATGGCACAAACATACAACCTACAATTCCAGAAGCCTTGGACAAACTCACCCTTTCCTGCTTCTGAAGGATCAGGGTGTCCTCCCTATAAACCTAAAATCAACAGAACACAATGTGGTACAGGTCCAACGTAACACACTTCAGCATCTACACTGGATTCAAACCCAGTGGCAATGGTGTGGCTTTCTGAATATCCATGCACCTCACTGGACATTCAATGAAGGGAATTAACAGCATCCCTGATTGATGAAAGAAACTTAAGGCCTGGATATTCCTGACTGGAGATCCTGAGGCCAAACCCAATACAGATGGGGTAGAAGGAATCCCTAGGTCTGTGCAGACACAGGAGCAGAAGGGGCCTGCTATATAAACTATGCAAACACAAGAGTTTGGAATAAGGTAAACTCATTTGAGGCGTTTTCATACCTTATGTTTCAACTCATCCATTTTCTAATGTTTTTTAGTTAAAATATTATTTAGCTGGTATAATACTTGGTTAAACCTTGACAGTGAATGATTTTATATAAACTTAAGTCTCAATATGTTAATTAGAAATATGACATTTTTTTTTTTTTTTTGGTTTTTCGAGACAGGGTTTCTCTGTGTAGCTTTGCGCCTTTCCTGGGACTCACTTGGTAGCCCAGGCTGGCCTCGAACTCACAGAGATCCGCCTGGCTCTGCCTCCCGAGTGCTGGGATTAAAGGCGTGCGCCACCACCGCCCGGCTGAAATATGACATATTTAGTGGAAACTATTAGCAATTATTTTGAAGAAACATAATATTTGGGGGTATATTTTAAGGATATTAATTACTTAAGGGAGTCTGAAATCACAGGACTAAGTTATTTTCTCAATCTTTACATTTTAGGAATCACAGAGGCTAAAGCTGTCCACAGGGCTAGGGCAGGTACAAAGTTCTGCAAGCCTGAAGAGCTCCAACCCTATTGAAGATGTGTACGTACAAAAATGAATACTGACTCATTGTGGTGAGAGTTTAAACTGCTGGAATTAATAAGCAAATCAGTGTGCACTTGCCTCAATAGCAGGAAACAGAAATACTATTTCACCAAGGTATAAATTTCTCTGAATATAATGAAAACACTCAAAACACTACAACACATACATGCACACACATGGTCATTCCTGCTCTAGTCCCAATAGCTAGAAAATGAATCAGCCTGGATCTCCATCAGCTGATATCCATGTGATGGAGATGCAGCATGTAAACACAATGATTTCCACTCAGCAATGAAGAAAATTGAAATGAAATTTCCAGCAAATGGTGTAAGTGAAAATGTAATTACATTGAGTCAGGTAACCAAAGCCCACAAAGTCAGGCATGGTGATGCAAGACTTTAATCCAGAATGCATGAGGCAGAGGACGGTGATCTCTGAGTTCAAGGTTAGCCTGATCAACACAAGGAGATCCAGGGCTACAAAGAGAAACCCTGTGCCAGAAACAAAACAAAACAAATGAATACCTAAAGTCAGGTGATGATGGAAAAACCCTGTCTCAAAAAAGGAAAAAAAAAAAAGAAAGAAAGAAAAAATAACAAATTATAAATTAACAATTAAATGAATATCAAAATAACTATACACTGAAGCATAACAAATATATTATAAATGTGCTCCACACTCAAGTCAACATTCAAATAAAGAACATTTTTCTCCACCAGGTAGAAAGCACACTTGTCTTTCTCTCATGAACACTCTGAAGGTTCCCAAATGGTCAGAAATTACACTACCTACATAAACCAACTGTCTAGAGGCAAAAAGAAAGAGATGAAGTATTACTTTTTCCCAAGGCCTGAAAATTGACACTCCCAATCCCTCTGTTTAAAGCAGCTTACAGCAAAACTACCCCAGCAACAAAAATACAATGCCAGTTCCACAAAGCTCTTAGCCAGTTTCACTGGCCTTTTCTGCAAAGTTGTGGAAACTTTTCAAAATTCCAATTTGGGACTCTAAAAAGGTCACTGCAAACCAAAAGTGAAGCAGATTGAAATTTCTATCTTTCTCCAGACTGGTAATTTTGGCCAACAGCAGTCAGGAGAACAATTAAAAATTCTCACACATTATCATTTTTAAAAAATGGAAGAAAAATGCAAACATTATACAGGATGAGTTTTGTAGGAAACTTTTTTTTTTTTTTTTTTTTTTTTTTTTTTTTACTTTTTTTGGTTTTTCGAGACAGGGTTTCTCTGTGTAGCTTTGGTGCCTGTCCTGGATCTCGCTCTGTAGACCAGGCTGGCCTTGAACTCACAGAGCTCCACCTGGATCGGCCTCCTGGGTGCTGGGATTAAAGGCGTGCACCACCGCCGGCTGTGGGAAACTTCTTTAATAGAAGGAGGCATGGGAAACAAGCTAAGAGAGACCAGATGGGAGAAGTGAGTGGAGAGAGGAAAAAACTCCAAGGTGATAACGGGAAAAAAAAAAAAATCAACCACTCAAAACGGAAGCACAAGAGGAGAAGGGAAACTTAAGGATCACCCCTGTTCCATACGCAGCACAATCTGGACCAACCCGCCAGCGCTGCAAAATCTGTGTAGCACAGTTCATGGCAAGGAGTCACCCAAGAGTACTGAGGATTGCGGGGAAGCAGCTTCACCAGGACAGAAAAGTGGGGGGTCGGGGGGGGGGGGAGATTGGGGCTCAAGGCTCCCTGTGGGGTGCACACTTCAAGTGAAAGTGGGCATAGGCATTGCTGGGCCAGACTCTACCTTCCAGTGGACTGCTCAGCACCAAGGGAAACTCCAGGTGCTGGCGCTGCAAAGGAGCTACTGTCCCAAACCCGCCACCCAAGATTCCAGGAGCCAAGGGACACTCACCATATCGTACTTCCGATGTGCCTCGGTGTCCTCCCAAAGAGAACTGCAGTCAGCAGAACACAGTATCGCCTAAAACACACCATCGCCTAAAACAAGTCCTCACAAGGACCCCAGACTAAGCAAAGCGTTAAAACAAAAAAAAAAAAAAAAAAGGCTTCCGGGTCGCACACAGACTATCCGTGCTCCTGATTGGGCAGTTCCTTTTATACTGTCGTCCCTGATTGGCGAACTATACACTAGCCGCACCTAAAATATCTAAACATTTTAGAAAAGGTCAGGCGAAAGCCCTACTGCCAGCCCGTTTAAGGAAGGCAGACTTCTGTGAATTCAGAGGCATTAAAGGCTACATGGTGACTCCCTGACTCAAACCAAACAAATATGCCAGAGACTGTGGCAGGGTTTCTCTGCGTAGCCCTGGCTGTCCTGGAGTTCACTTTGGAGATCCGCCTCCCTCTACCTCGCAAGTGCTGGAATTAAGGGCATTCGCAACCACGCCCTGCTAATGGCAGGCAATTTTTAATTCCTGAAATGCTGGGGCAGAGGCAAGAAGATCACTAAATTGAGGCTCACTTGGTACAGAGAACTTCAGGATATATTACCCAAAGAAATCCTGTTTAAAAAAAACAAACGTATATACAAACAACCATGCAAAATACAGACAAAAGTAAATATAAATAAATAAATAAACAAACAAACAAATAAATAAATAAGGAAAAGCATTAACACATAGGCCTTGTGCTCTGGAATAAACCTATTGCATTTTAGGATTTCATTGCATGGTAAGAACATGCTCTGAGATTTTGGGCGCCCCTACTCACTTCCTTGCATAGCCAGTATTTCCCTGACTGCCTTTTCCATGACGTTGATGCTTTAAATTTGCTCTGTACATTCCAATCTTTTGACCCAAAGGAAAAAAACAGGACTTCAGGGTAGGAGCAGGGCCCAGGTAGATTCAAGCACAGAAACCCCAAATAGGGTTGATAGGAAATCTCAAAGTTGAGGGATGAGACAAAAGCCTATGTTTCAATGTATCCATTTTCTACTAATATAATTAAAGCACACCAACAAAGGAATTTAATTACTTATAGGATGGATAAAATAGACATACATGCCTGGAGTACCCCACTTAGGAATCACAGTTCAAGCAACACTTGAACATCAAAAAATATTTTCTTACCCAAGGTCATGAAATAGCCTCCATTCACTATAGTAAATACTCTAATTCTCAAGATCACACAGACTGCTAAGAGCCCCACAGTGGTCATTCTCTAGTGATGATCCAAAGACACTAAATGAGACTTGAGTCTTCATCTTGCCTGCTATTGCTTGCAGGGCCAGGAAATAATTCCATCAACGTCATGATGTTCATGAAAGCAATAATGTCATTCACATGGACGTTGAGATTATTTCTTTTATTTCATGTGTAAGGATGTCTTTCTTAAATGTACGCCAGTAATCTAATGTGTGCTTGGTTCACTGGGAGGCCAGAAAATGATATTGTATCCCCTAGAACTGGATTCACAGACTGTTGGGAGCCACCATGGGGATGCTGGGAATCAAATGTGGTCCTCTGGGAAAGAAGTCTGTCCTCTTAACTGCTAAGCCAGCAATCCCTTAATCACATTAAAATTTTAATAAAGTAAACAATAAAATTCACAAATATGTTCTTCAGGAGTCTGCCAAATTGGATCTCTCTAAACATGATCATCAAACATGTTCTTCATATGACAGGAACTGTTTTCACTAATCTTAGTCATGATGTAACTGACTGTCCTAGCTAAGCAGCCTCCATCCTGGGGAGTTCCAAAATGCCCCCTTGAAAAATATTATCACAGCTGGGCATGTTGACAGTTTAACCCCACATGGAGGAATGGAGGAAGGTAAAAAGTTCTCAACCATTATGGGTCAGCCCAGAGAGGAATGTTTGCAGGGAAAGCCTATTTCCCAAGACAGCCTGTCTCCCTTGGGCAAACAATTTGAAAAGGGAGAGCCTGCATACCAGGGTTTAGCACAGGAAGCTGCTTCAACTTCCTGTTGCCAAGACCCTTGGAGCCCTATAAAGAGCCCTGTAAAGGGCAGCGTTCTTCCATTGCACACCTTCTCTGCACAGCAGGAAAGTAGGTGAAACTTGCTGTATGTGCTAATGACCTGCGTTGTCTGTTGAGGTAAGACTCTGGTCTATTTCCAGCCAATAGAACACTAATGAAAATACTATTTTTTCTCCAAGATATTCATCCAGTAAAATGACTAACTACTGAATAAGTATCATAATTTCTTCCACTTGGAGAAGCACCCTAGACTAGCAAAGCAAACAACAATCCAATCTCAAGCCCATGATCCACTTCACTCCACAATCAAGGATAAGCCTGAGAGAGTTTTTTGAAAACTCCAATTTTTGCCTCAAAAACAGATAGAGAAAGAAAAAAAAATCTAACCTAAAATTTGCATCTTCTATGACTGGGAATTTTGACCCACTCTCACAGAGTGAACAATCCAGTCCTCTCACATAATCATTTTTAAAAGGACAGAATACACACACAATGTGGAGTTTTGCTTGGGGGAAGCAGTGTAGTGCCAAAGCCTGTGTTTACCTTATGCCAAACATGGCTTGGGGTTCAGTACTAAGAAAACAGAAAATGGCAAAGATAATGACAGGAATACTCTGAAGCAGCACAGACAAACCTGTAAGGAGACAGGGTACACCTCCCGGGACTCTTCAGACCACAGACTGGACTCTGTCACCAACCTTGCAGCTCTGCAAGTTCTGAGGAAGCACAGATTCCAGGTGCCTTTTCACCCAAAAAGATAGTAGCCTTGGATGCAGTAGTTTCCCTGGGACAGAACAGGGTGGAAAGTCGTGTGCATGGCTCCAGCTTTATCTCCATTCTCAGTGCTTTGGGAAGGATGAAGCCAGCGCAGAACTCTAAGAACTGTGCACATGGGAGGGGGACATCCAGGCAGCTGCTCTACAGCCATAGAAATGTCACAAATACACAACCCACAATTCCAAGAGTCCAAGGCACTGCTTCTGATGGATCAAGGTATCTTTTTCACAGGCTTAAAATCGGCAGATGGGGAATGTCATACTGCCTCAGCACTACACAGGATTCAAAGCCAGTGGCAATGATGAGGCTTTCTGAATATCCACACACCTCAGTGGCCATTTGATGAAGGGACATAACAGCATTCCTGATTAACTAAAGACACATAAAACCTGGATATTCCTGATTCAAGACCCTAAGGGGAAAAGCAATAAACCTGGGGTAGAATGAATCCCTAGGTCTGTCCAGACACAAGAACAGAGAGGAACCTGCTATACAAAGGCAGGAATTTGGAATGAGATAAACACATTTGAGGCTTTTCCACACCTTATGCTTCAACCTATCCATTTCCTTTTTTGGTTTGTTTGTTTTGTACTTTGAATCAGCTTCTCTCAATTATGTAGCATTGACTGTCCAGGAACATATAATATAGACCAGGCAAGACTGGAGCTCACATCATCTGCCTCTTCCTCCAGATTGATATATAAAACAAACAGTCAATTCTTTCCTGCAACTCAACCTATCCATTTTCTAAAAAAAAAAAAAAAAAAAATTAAAATACCAACTAGAAATACAATTACTGAATGAACAGAAAAATGAAATTACTTTACAGCAATATTCAACAAAATATTCAAGACATGAAAAGCAAGCCTTAAAAATCAGACAAAGAGCCGGGCGGTGGTGGCGCACGCCTTTAATCCCAGCACTCGGGAGGCAGAGCCAGGCGGATCTCTGTGAGTTCGAGGCCAGCCTGGTCTCCAAAGCGAATTCCAGGAAAGGCGCAAAGCTACACAGAGAAACCCTGTCTCGAAAAACCAAAAAAAAAAAAAAAAAAAAAAAAAAAAATCAGACAAAGAGGGTCTAGAGAGGTGGCTCAGAGGTTAAGATCACTGGTTGCTCTTCCAGAGGTCCTGAGTTCAATTCTCAGCAACGACATGGTGGCTTACAACCATCTGTAGTGAGATTGGATGCCCTCTTCTGGTGTGCAGGTATGCATGCAGATAGAGCACTCCTATACAGAAAATAAATAAATCATTTAAAAAAATTTTTTTAAATGAAAGAAAAATACAAAAAAATCAGACAAAGAAATTTCTTCTCCCCAAGTCAGAAGAAGATTTCCATTAGTCATTCAGGACTAAGCTTCCCAGTCAGATCCATAGGGAGCCATCACTGTCAAGGTTTAAACTTAACTTCTTTTTCTAAAACAAAATGCAATTTGTACTAGCAGATAGGTTATTAATATTTTATTGAATCTGGAATGATTGGGGAAAATGTGACTATGTGGCCACAATATTCGGAGACAGGGTAAACTAAGTTTCCTTTAGAATCCAATGGCTATGTTATGTGAAATGTCTATAAAACAAAAGAAACCACTCTGGATGTCTAGTATTCCCTTCTTTAGATATATTGTATGGGAACATCATCATTAAATAATAAAAAAAGTCTAAAAGTCTAATACATTCATAATAATTATTATTTAATTGTGATATATAATTCCTTTTAAAAGCAGTTGTTATTTGATGATAATTTTAAAGTCTGTATTCAAGAGATATATACCACGGCCCATGCAACCCCTAAAGGAAATCATCCTAGACCTTACTTCTATCATGCTTACTGTTTTCCTCAGTCACATGACCACATCTTGGACACAGTTTATGCCAAAGAAATAAATTGCCAACCATCAGAATCCCACCAGAGGGATTAATCTGCGTGTTTTCCCTGTCTCTGTGTTTGCTATTATATTAATGTAATCTATTCCTTCAGTAAACAAGACCAAAAATTTTAAGATCATGTCAAGAAATGCAATAAATACTGAGGGAGAGCAGACACTACCTTTATTCATTGATTATATTGCTGTTGTGGTAGAAAGTCTCCAAATCTACACCGTCATGTCCTCAAAATGCAAGAGGAGAGAAGAATGAAAGAAGGTTATGGAAATCTACCTTCTTATACCAAAGTTAACATTTTGGATTGTGTCAACTTCAAACAACTGATCACTTATAAAATAATTCCACAAATTTTCAGAGGTTATGCCCTGTGGAAGAATTTTCTCATGTTATTATGTGTTTTAGTTTTCTTTCTGCTGCTGTGATAAATGCTATGAC